GGGATCATCATATTGTCGATCTCGGATACGCTCCAATAAAGAAGAACGAGCGACTGTGCAAGCTAATACACGGTTGGGCTCGGAAACATCCAACCTCACGAACTGATTGGCCAAAGCCTGAACATCCAGAGCAAGCGGCCTCTCACCGACCGGAATATAAGCAAGACTGCCCATACTGGCTGACTTCCTACTCAAAGCATCGGCCACCACATTGGCCTTCCCCGGATGATATAGGATGGTGATATTATAGTCTTTCAATAGCTCCAACCACCTTTTCTACCTCAAATTCAACTCCTCCTGCTTGAACAAATACTGCAGACTCTTGTGATCCGAGAACACCTCACATGCCACGCCATACAGATAATGCCTCCAAATCTTCAACGCGTGAACAACGGCTGCTAACTCCAAATCATGAACCGGATAGTTCTTCTCATGAATCTTCAACTGCCGCAAAGCATAGGCAATGACCTTGCCACCCTGCATAAACACCGCCTTGTTAGCTTGTATGGGTCCACCAAATCATAGAGTACCCGGTCCTCTACGAGATAACGCTTAGAATGTAGTAACTGCTGAATGTAAAGAAGGCAAGAGATTTTTTACGTGGAAAAATCCCACACAAGGGGATCAAAAAACCACGACCTACACCTGTAGGCTTTAAACTCACTAACTTGTAATCTACCTATTACAAGCCACTTTACAATACTCCCGATTGCAAAGGCTTCAAACTACCTTGTGATGCACCACCACAAGCCACTCTATAACTCTCCTAGTTACAGAGGATTTAACTTATGACTACTACTAGTCACAATATAAACTCTAAAGTTTACGAATTTTGTTTGTTCCTAAACCAATGCTTCTAAGAAAGCAAACTAGGAATTACAATGAAGAACAAATTACAAAGACTCTACAAACCTACGGACTTAAAGTGTCTTCGATCTTGGATCAGGTCTTTGAGGTTGCAGCAGCTTTGTTCTTGAGAGAGGTTCTTGAACACTTGAGAAAATATTTTACTTTTCTGAGTTTGCAAGCGTTGAACCTGAATCTTATGCCTTGCATAATGTTCATACTACACAAGACATCCTTAGTGATGTCCAATCTCAATGGTGATGTCCAATCGAAATGGAAAGTGGCTGCTGCATTGTCTGTTGTACTGTCTGCTGCACTGTTGCAGGCAGTCACTTTCTGCAATTACTTTCCAGCTATAGTTGACTTGTACTTCTGTCAGAGAACACTAAGGGACCAGGTCCCTGTTGTGTTCCTCTTTGTACAGTTGCGGACAATCACTCAATTGCGTTCCAGCTGTATAGTTGACTTGTACTTTTGTTAGAGAACTCTAAGGGACCAGGTCCCTGTTGTGTTCCTCTTTGTGGAGAGAGGAATACATCCCTGATGTTTGCTCTACCCTAGCGCCGTTATCCGCGCGCAAGTGTCCACACTCAAAGAAACTACGTTGCTGCAAATTCCGGGGTTTCAAAACCCTCAATACCAGCTTAATTTATACTAACCTCAAGCCGGCCAAAGTCGCTAGCTTTGCTATGCTTGCCTTTCGAATTCACCTCTGTCCGCCGTGAATCTGACCAAAACACAAACGAATATGTTCACAATATGCTAGGAATGTACCCACCCAATCGAAAAAGACTCGACAAACATCGAAAATTTCACCGAAGTTGGCAAACCCGAGCCCCGGGCCCACTTCTCCGAAAAATTAATAAATTTTACATCGCCGGATTCCTTATCTCACTGCGAGTCTACACATATAAAGAACACAAAAATCGGGAGTCCAAATGACCCCTAAATTCCCATTTTTGTTCTCTTAGTTTCATAGCCCTAAAACACCATTTTTTGAACTTAAATCCTTGAGTTTTCAAGTCTAAATTTCATGTGTTTCGCACCAATAAAATCGTGTTTTGGCTTAGAAATTCTACCTCAATGAACCCTGATTTCTCTCTCCAACTCCGCCCAAATTCCAAGGTCCCGAAGTGAAAATATGAAAACCCTCAAAAATTCTCGCGAAGGGAAATAAAACTATCTCTGACCAGTTATCTATTTCCGCATCTGCGGCTCCATGGCCGCATCTGCGGCTCCCAGCTTTGCGGTCAATGCATACGCTTCTGCTTGGGAAATATATCCGCTTTCTGCGGTAAACTCGCTCTACGACTCCCGCTTCTGCCGGGAAAAACAAACGCATATGCGGATCCCCATAAGAACTAAATTACCGCATCTGCGGTCCTCTATCGGCATCTGCGACCTCCGCAGATGTGTCACCATTCCGCACATGTGGTCCCTGCCGCTTCTGCGTCTCTTCTCTTCGCACTTCTGTCGCGTACGCTCTTCTGCGGTCCATCCGCAGAAGCGAAAATACCAGAAGCAGCGACATGGTTCTGCAATCTCTTAATCAAAACTTCCCGT